TATAACTAATAAAATACAACTTGTATAAAATAAATAATGGTAAGACAAAAACATACGTAAAATATATTATGGTGACTCAATGTATAATATAACTACCTTAACTTTAATACCTCACTTTTTCTTTCCACTACCAAAGACCCTTTCAGCTTTCATTATTTTTTTTCTTTCTTTTCTTCCTCTCTTTCTTCCTATCTTTTCTCTCATTTCTCTCCTTTTCCTTCTTCTTTTCTTTTACTCTTTTTTTTCCTTCCACTCATTTCCTTTTTTTCTTTCTCTTACTCTTTTCTTTCCTTCCACCCACTGAACCACCTCCTTTTATACTGGGGAAATGCTTGCCCAACAGTTAGTGACACGTGGCCATCCACGTCCTCTATATATATAGTTGCATCATCATCCGTAGGTTTTAATCTTATCCCTTAGAAATGTAAGTATAAATTAGTGACTTATTTATGCTTTGACCCCCAAAGTCTATTAATTATATTTATTTTATAAAATTACACATAATAATACAAAATAAATTATATATTTTCCTAACTGTAATTAAATAATATTAGTATAAATTTTACAGAATAATTAAAAATCTGGGTTGTTACAGTTAGGGTTTAAGAGCATTAAAAAAAAAAGAGAGAATAAAGGGGCACGAAGAAGTGGCGAAGAACAGAGGAGAAGTTAAAGACTTACATATTAGGGCACGGATCGTAGCTCCAAACGGTGAGATGAAGCTTTAGCAACGGCGACAAGGTCGAATTCCCTTGAGAGAGAGAGCTCTGATTCGAGTAAAACAAACGGAAATCGGAGGCTAGGAATGCACTGGAAGGGCGTCTGAGAGGAAGATAAACACTAAGAGAAGAGAAGTGAAGGGGCATGCAATGTGGATATAAGGGAAGAAGAGGCGCCAAGATTTGAACTTGAGGAGACGTCATAAGGCGGCGGGGTTGGCTGTATGAAGCCAATGAATGGAGGATACGTGCCTATAATAAGACCGGTGCCAGTCTTGAAAGGACATGTTGAAAAATTAAAGCGCCAGTCGAGCAAGTCATGGGACTTAGCGTGAAATTTAGTATGGTGTATGACTTGGGGTGAAAGACCGAGCAGATGAGTGATCCCGGCCGGAGAATGTAATTCTGGTCACGCTAGCGCAGACGAAATTAAGGGCAATTGAGAGGGAGGTTTACGACCGAAATGTTGAGCCGAGCTAGTTGGGCCGGAGTCAAGAGCTTCTGTTCGGCCTGTCTTTAAGTGCGTGTTAAACTGAGGTCTTATTCCGGTTGGGTGAGAATAGTTGTGGATTACCAGTCCAGGGAGTTATGCACTATTCGAAGTTGGGCCGGATTAGTCCTTCCGACGTGGTGAACTGAGCTTGTGCTCGGTGGTAGCCAAGGAGCTCGGTTGAGCCATGGTGCGGAGTTGTTAAAGAAACCGGACAAGTAGCTCGGTTGCTGTGTGATGTCATGGCTTCGTGTTGAGCGTATCTCGGTCAAGAGTGCTATGCGGTGCCACGAGACTGAAGGAAAGGAATTGCACTGTCCATGCGCGTCGAAGCCGTTTGGCGGTTTTGTTAGGTGGTGTTTAGTTATATTTGCACTGACATGTGGGGAAATGGGAGAGGAGAGCAAGTCCACGCGTCTAAAGGTGAATGGGTGCAGAAGCGCGCGCATAAGTTATATAAACGGAGCTGTGCCCCCAAACTCAGGCCTGGCACATCCTCAAATCAGAACTCACCGACCACTTTGTCTTCTCCCTTTTCTCTCTCCCTCTCCCTCTAAGTGTACTAACTTGATCGTCGGAGGAGTTTTCTGGCAACACATTGTCGGGTAGCTCACCCTCGTTGTGTTCTCAAGTCGATCGGAGCGAAGCGCAGTTTGGACACAAGGAGTACGGATAACGATGGGTGTTTGTCTCCCGTACAAATGTTATTTGTCATTATAATAATTATAAATTAAAAAAAAAAGACGGACCATTTAACCAAAATGGCATCAGCTCGTTCTTTTAAGCACATGCATTCTCAACTATAGAATCACTCAGCAAATCTCCATATGATATGGAGAAATAATTTCTCTACAGAAGATCTTGATCCTCTTATAAAAATAAACGACCAATGCTATAGACACATAAATTTTTGAATATAATATATAAAAGTTTTTATATAAAGGTAAAATCCATACATATAAGATAAATGTGAGATCCACCTTTATGTGAGAATTCTTACACATTCTGTGTATAAATTTTAGAGAAAATTAGCAACCAAAAAAAAAACTAAGGTTTGACCCTTGTAACAAAATAAATATTGAATTTTTGATTTTGTCAATTTAAACCTTAATATTTTCATAATCTAACCCAATTTGTCTATTTTTATTAAGTAGGACTGAAGAAACAAAAAATAGTATTTTAGTTATTAAACTCAATAGAAAATATATTTTAGACATTTTATGTATATCTATATTGAGTTTAATGATTAAAATATTTTTTTCTTTAGTTTTACCTAACAAAAAGTAGGCAAATAATTTAAATTTAAAATAAATTATGGTTTAAATTGATAAATTTAAAATTTTAAGATACTTTATTATAAGGGTCAAACCATTATTTATTTTGTTTTATTTATTTATTTATTTGTGTGCGTGTAATTTCTCTTAAATTTTATGTGTAAATAATATTTCTCAAACAAACGAATGAGCTCTGATGTTTTAGGCCCGGTCCGGCATACCCTGACCCAGCCTAACATAGTCTTGAATTACTAATTTCGAGCCCAGTCTTTTGACAGTCTTTACGGCGATCTAGCCCAACAGCATGCTAATATGCTTCTTACACTATTGTTTTATAACTTTTTAACTTGAGTTCGAATCTTCGGTCGCCCTTTCCTGCAGCCGTCCCTACCGCGTATCAAAACGACGTTGTTTTGATATTAAAATTTTTTTTCACCTCTTATTTTTCAACCCCTTTTGGTTGTGCCCTAGCCCCTCTGATAGAGACGAACAAAGGTAGAGACGAACAGAGCTAAACAGATCAAACGGGAGAGGCGACGAATGCGAGGGCGAATCGAATAGGAGAGGCGACGAACGCGAGGACGAGAGACGAAGACAGAGAGGCGACGAACGAACACACATTTGGTTTGACGAGGTTCATCTCATCTCTCTTTCTCTCTCTCTTCCCTTCTTCTGTGATTCATCCAAAGAAAGCCTTCAAACTACCAAATTTTGTTGAATTTTGTGAAATTGTGGTTGTTGGGTTGAGTTATGAACATATATATATATACATTTGGTTTACATTTTATGTGTTGATTTTTGTTGGCTGTTATTGTGAAATTTTGTTGAGTCAGGCATTCTAGATAGAAGATATTATATATACACAGAAGTCATTTTGTTGAGTCAGGCATTCCATATATATACACAGAGGTTGTCATTCCACAGGTTTACTCATTTCTATATTTTCCTTCTTCCCATAGATTTCCAGATGGAAGATATTACTTATTGGGAAATTTTTGAAAAAAAAAAATGTCCAGATAAAAGATATGAAATACCTACATTTCTATACCCTTTACGAATGGTTTAAGTACTTAGAGCTCACTTGGCTTGATGTAGAAGCTGGAAATCCAGTTGGAACATAGTGACCAGAATCAATGTGATGTAAAATGGAACCAGAATTTCAAAACTTTGTAAATAGATGTATGAAACCAGAATTTCAAAATTTTGGATTTCCAGTGCCTTGAACTCAGGTATCTACCATTCATATGTGATGTAAAATGGAGTCAAAATCTAAATAAATACATCTGTTTGGAACATAGTGACTAGAATCAATTGAGTTCAGTTTCTCTAAAGGAGTCAGAATCTAAATACTTGAACTCAGGTATCAATTTGTTTGGAACATACTTGACTAGAATCAATCTGTTTGGAACATACTTGAACTCAGGTATCTGCTATTTCAAATTTCAATCTGTTTGGAACATACTTGACTAGAATCAATCTGTTTGGAACATACTTGAACTCAGGTATCTGCCATTTCAAATTTTTATTCTGACTCCATTTTACTAGCTTCTCCAAAGGAATCAGATCTGTCTGTCTGCAACTTATGCTTGTCTGCTAGTTGTTGATGAAGTAATATAAACTTATGAACTGATGTTGGCTGAAGTGAGTAGGATTAACATCAACTTATGAACTGATGTTGACTGGACTGTCTACGTGCTTGTTATCTACATCTCTTAACTTCAACTGTGGTTAGATCTATGCTGCATTTGAAATTGTCTTTTGTGTTTACTTGTAATTAGGATTGACATGTCAACGAGTTCAAACAATGATGTTGGATTCTTCCAAAATAAAAGATGCAAATGTGGGAAAAAGGCAAGAGTGTACATATCAAAATCAGAGAAAAATCCAGGGAAGTTGTATTTCAAGTGTGCAAATAAGGCTTGTGACTACTTTGCGTGGGGAGTGGCTCCTACGAGGAATGTATCAAATATCCAAAACAGCGAGAACGATTATGATTTTGCGAGAAACAATGAAGTTGTGAAGATCGTGGAACGACTTGAGGCAAACCAACGAGAATGACTTGAAGCTATCAAATTCATGATGTTGACAACCATAGTGATAGTTGGTTTTACCATGCTAATAGTGCTGCTCAAGTAAACTTGTATTTCTACTGAGTGTAAATCACTACTTGTAAAACTTGTATTTAGTTTTGAAACTTTTATATGTGCATGTAAAAGCCAAACAATGTTTAATTAATGAAGTTATTATGCTATGTCAATTGTGTTAATTAATGAAATTCGGTGTTATGTATATGATGTATGAAGATTGATGCTATGAAAAGAAAGTGAATATGATGTTATGTGAGCACAAAGTGAATATGATGTCGCATGATGGATGATCAATCCTTTACACAGGGCACTATATTGCAATTCTTCCATGGGTTTTAGCATGTTAAATCATAAAATGCCTAGCTTCTTCCAAGTAATCCTCAAAGAGGCATCTCAAAGCAAGCTTCCCAAATATAACACATAACAATCATTACTGTGATTGAACCTGTGCCACAAGGAATTTAACCTGTCCAACTTCCCTAATCACCAACCACATGCTTATATTGACTAAAACAAACATTAATGTGATCCTAACAATAAAGACATTCTAGATGAAAATAATAAGAACTTTATATATGCCACCACATCAACAAAACAACATTGTTCCCAAACATTAAAAATACATAAAAAAGATGTCCATGAAAAATATCCGAATCCCGCCAAACATTAAAAATACATAAAAAAAATGTCCATTAAAAATATTCAAATTCCACCAAACATAAAAAAATACACCCAAATCCACAAATATAATAACACCGTCGTTTAGTGCAAGCCTTCCAGGGATGTCCATCCACATGACTGTCAGCAGGACTATGTGACGCTTGCGACAGTTGGACTGCAAATTGTTGAACACTAGCACCTCGAAGCAACTCCTGAATCGATGTCTGAGTGGGATACACTAAAGGCATTGACTGAGGCGGCATTGACTGAGGCGTGTTATTTCCCTGCAATAGTGATACATTTATTAAAATATTTATAAAATCTATACTACCATTTCAATGTAAAGTATGTAAGCAATTACAACTCACATCATATGTAGGATACATGACCTGATGAACACTTGTACGACCCATGGCAAAGGGAGGTTGAGATTGGAATTCAGGTCGAGATTGGGATTGAGATTAAGAAATATAGATTGCACGACCATAATCCTAAAGTAAACCAACATAAAGAAAATAATAAGTGAAATGAAAAAAAATTAATAATGCATTTTCATTTTAAAAAACAGACAATATGAAATATTACCTCAACATAATTACTACCTATGGCGAAAGGAGGTTGAGATTGACCTTGTGGAGTATAAACACCCTAAAGTAAACCAACATAAACAAAAGAATAAGTGGAATGCAAAAAAATTAATAATGCATTTTCATTTAAAAAAACAAAAACAAACAATATGAAATATTACCTCAACATAATTACTACCCATGGCGAAAGGAGGTCAACATTAACCTTGCGGAGTGTAAACAGTAACACCCTATACAACCACACATCAACAAAATTAAAGGTTGCATACAAAATTAAAGGTTCTGTATGAGGTTCAATTTTCCTAAGGTCTATACATGTCAAATGTTGCATACAAAATTAAATATTACCTATATTGAATGACTACCCACGGTGGAAGAAGGTTGAGATTGACCTTGAGAAGCAGAAAAAGAACCACCCTACATACATCACAAAAGACCCAAAATAATAAATATCACGCCACTAGTTGCAACAATAACCAATCCAACAAGATTAATACAATAGTAAATATTATCTGACTAGAAATATTACCCATGGCGACATGAGGCTCAGATTGACCTTCGGAAGTACAAAAACTATCACTCTGCAAACATCCAATTTATTTAATGCATTATTTTCCAAACACACATAATACAAAATTGATAACACATCACATAACACATAACAAAATTAATTACCTGTTTAGATTGCATTCTTTTCTTCTTTGCAATAGATTTTTCCATCTCGCCCTTGATCCTCCTTCTTCGCTTACTAGTTGTTTGTCTTTTCTTTAGTCCCTTAGCTTGGATTGGACAATCTACTTCATCACTCTGTGGGCATGTGTTAGTTGAGGAATTTCTCAATTCAGTGACCTCCACTTGACCACAAGTGTGTACACTTAATTTGTCTTCAGCTATTACACTCAATTCTTCACCTTTTGCAAGTGACAAATGATAAGTTTCTTCATTTTTAGCGGCTCTACTTGCTATTGCTTTAAACATATTTATCAATGACCTATATCGGTCGCGTTGATGTAGTTTCACATCAACCTTGACGTCATACCCACGACTATCCTTCACATATTCAGCCCTTGCTTTTTTAGTCCAACGTTTCAGTATATATTGTGCATGAAGGTTTGTTGCATTGAATATATCTCTAAGCACCTTCAGACAATGTTGACACAATATGCCCTTTACTTCAAACTTCTTGCAACTACAACTCAAAGAACCATCTCTATCCATTGTCACATTCTTATTTTTTTTTTCATCTACCACCGTTCTAATTGTGAATATGGTACTCTCACCATCATTAATAGTGCCTACAATGGATGCTTTAATGGACTGCACGTACTCATTTTGGAATTCCTCAAAAATTGTTTTGGTGTAAATCTGTGCCACTTGCTTTAACATCAAAGTTGGAAATGAAACCCTTGGCAATTTTTGGGACAAATTATACTCGGCTTCTAATTCTTTATATCTCTTGTCATAGAGCACCCTCTCAAAATGCATGAAAAATTCCATCAAGTTATGATCACAATTGAGATAATCCTTCAAAAATGCATTGAAGATTCACTTAGTTAAGTAGTACTCATTCCAGCTGCCCAAGAATTCATTACATATGGCCATTTCCATTTCTCCTTCACACCAAAAGTTTGCTCCAACCAATGATTGTTGCGTGCATCATACCTATCAAGCATTTGTTCCAATTGTATTCTAAATTCTTCTTCATCATCAATTTTATGCATAAATTTAGAAAACACACCCTTCACCCCTACATCTTCAAAAAGAGAACTTACATGCTTCACAGCATTTTGCATCAAATGCCATATGCAAAATCGGTGGTTTGTATTAGGCATGACAATTGGAATAGCCTTAGCCATCGTAGTATCTTGATCTGTGAAAATAGTTTTTAGAGCTTTGTTTGACATTGCCTCCAAAAAAATCTGAAACAACCATGTACATTACAGGGTGTAATCAAAACAGTAAATAACCGGAAATAAGTTCAACATGTCCATTACATTACAGGGTGTAATCAAAACAGGAAATTTTAAAATTCGAATTGAAGAATGGCGTTTGAAGAATTATAATGGAAACCATAACATGAAGATTACCACAATTAAGTGGACAGTCCAACCAGTACAAAAAATTGAATGGAAAAACAAAGTAAACTATGAATCAAACAAAGGATTCTGACCGTATTAATGAAGAATTTATCATGTGAAGTAAAAAAACATCATCGTTCTTGGGTGTAATAAAAATGTACGCAAACATTCAAATCCCCACCAAACATGAATACTTAATACTAAACTCTCACCCCTTCTTGGGTGTAATAAAAATGTCCATAAAAAAATTCAAATCCCACCAAACATTACAAATACATAAAAAAGATATCCATAAAAATTATACAAATCCCACAAAACATTACAAATACATAAAAAAAAATTGTCCATCAAAAATATTCAAATCCCACCGAACATAAAAAAAATACACCCAAATCCACAAATATAATAAGATCATCGTTTGGTGCAAGCCTTCCAGGGATGTCTATCCACATGACTGTCAGCAAGACTATGTGAGGCTTGTGACAGTTGGACTGCAGTAGTATCTCGAAGCAATTTCTGAAACGATGTCGGAGTGGGATACACGAAAGGCATTGAATCAGGCAGCATTGACTGAGGCGTGTTATTTCCCTGCAATAATGATACATGTATTAAAATATTTTTAGAATCTATATTACCATTTCAATGTAAAGTATGTAAGCAATTACAACTCACATCATATGTAGGATACATGACATGATGAACACTTGTACGACCCATGGCAAAGGAAGGTTGAGATTGGAATTCAGGTCGAGATTGGGATTGAGATTGAGAAATATAGATTGTACGACCATAACCCTAAAGTAAACCAACATAAAGAAAATAATAAGTGAAATGAAAAAAAATTAAAAATGCATTTTCATTTTACAAAACAGACAATATGAAATATTACCTCAACATAATTACTACCTATGGCGAAAGGAGGTCGAGATTGACCTTGTGGAGTGTAAACACCCTAAAGTAAACCAACATAAACAAAAGAATAAGTGGAATGCAAAAAAATTAATAATGTATTTTCATTTTAAAAAACAAAAACAAACAATATGAAATATTACCTCAACATAATTACTACCCACGGCGAAAGGAGGTCGACATTGACCTTGCGGAATGTAAACAGTAACACCCTATACAACCACACATTAACAAAATTAAAGGTTGCATACAAAATTAAAGGTTCCGTATGAGGTTCAATTTTCCTAAGGTCTATGCATGTCAAAGGTTGCATACAAAATTAAATATTACCTATATTGAATTATTACCCACGGTGGAAGAAGGTTGAGATTGACCTTGAGAAGCAGAAAAAGAACCATCCTACATACATCACAAAAGACCCAAAATAATAAATATCATGCCACTAGTAGCAACAATAACCAATCCAACAAGATTAATACAATAGTAAATATTACCTGACTAGAAATATTACCCATGGCGACAGGAGGCTCAGATTGACCTTCGGGAGTACAAAAACTATCACCCTGCAAACAACCAATTTATTTAATTCATTATTTTCCAAACACACATAATACAAAATTGATAACACATATCACATAACACATAACAATCACACATAACAAAATTAATTACCTGCTTAGATTGCATTATTTTCTTCTTCGCAATAGATTTTTCCATCCCGCCCTTGATCCTCCTTCTTCCCTTACTAGTTGCTTGTCTTTTCTTTAGTCCCTTAGCTTGGATTGGACAATCTACTTCGTCACTCTGTGGGCATGTGTTAGTTGAAGAATTTCTCAATTCAGTGACCTCCACTTGACCACAAGTGTGCACACTCAATTTGTCTTCAACCATTACACTCAATTCTTCACCTTTTGCAAGTGATAAATGATAAGTTTCTTCACTTTCAGCGGCTCTACTTGCTATTGCTCTAAACATATTCATCAATGACCTATATCGGTCGTGTTGATGTAGTTTCACGTCAGCCTTGACGTCATACCCACGGCTATCCTTCACATATTTAGCCCTTGCCTTTTTAGTCCAACGTTTCAGTATGTATTGTGCATGAAGGTTTGTTGCATTGAATATATCTCTAAGCACCTTCAGACAATGTCGACACAATATGTCCTTTACTTCAAACTTCTTGCAACTACAACTCAAAGAACCATCTCTATCCATTGTCACATTTTTATCCTTTTTTTCCATCTACCACCGTTCTAATTGTGAATATGGTACTCTCACCATCATTAATAGTGCCTACAATGGACGCTTCAATGGACTGCACGTACTCGTTTTGGAATTCCTCAAAAATTATTTTGGTGTAAATCTGTGCCACTTGCTTTAACATCAAAGTTGGAATTGAAACCCTTGGCAATTTTTGGGACAAATTATTCTCGGCTTCTAATTCTTTATATCTCTTGTCATAGAGCACCCTCTCAAAATGCATAAAAAATTTCATCAAGTTATGATCGCAATTGAGATAATCCTTCAAAAATGCATTGAATGATTCACTTAGTTGAGTAGTACTCATTCCAGCTGCCCAAGAATTCATTACATATGGCCATCCCCATTTCTCCTTCACACCAAAAGTTTGCTCCAACCAATGATTGTTGCGTGCATCATATCTATCAAGCATTTGTTCCCATTGTATTCTAAATTCTTCTTCGTCATCAATTTCATGTATAAATTTAGAAAACACACCCTTCACCCCTACATCTTCAAAAAGAGAACTTACATGCTTCATCGCATTTTGCATCAAATGCCATGTGCAAAGTCGGTGGTTTGTAGTAGGCATGACAATTGGAATGGCCTTAGCCATCGCGACATCTTGATCTGTGAAAATAGTTTTCGGAGTTTTGTTTGACATTGTCTCCAAAAAAATCTGAAACAACCATGTAAATGATTCGGCGGTCTCATCATACATCAATGTTGCACCGAATATAACTGTTTCTCGATGATGATTAAATCCAACAAAGGTTCCAAAAAGTCTATGCTCGTTATTTAATTTGTAAGTAGTGTCAAAGGTCACTACATCACCAAATTGAGCATAGTCCATTATCATTTGAGCATCGGCCCAAAAATATATTACTTATCTACTCTTCACAATCTAATTGGACTGCATAATAAAAGGATGGATTTTTTACAGTTTTCTTACGAAAGTATTGTAACACACTACCCGCTTCTCCATATTCCAAATCCTTTTGTCTCTTTAAACTCAAGTAATTTTTTTGGTCGAATTTCGTGAAGCCAAGTGCTGCTCTTCCACCAGATTCCCTACCAAATAGCTTATAAGCAGACCTAAGAGGAATTCCAGATTCTGAAGCCAATTCTACTTCCATTGCTTGGGTGGTAGATATTTTTCTTTGGGATGGCAACATATGAATGCACTCTTGACGCACAAGGTCATGATTATGGTGTTCAACAAAATCAATTGCAATATATTTTCCTAAATTTCTATCTAACTTGATACTCAATTGGGCACCACAACCACATCTCACCTCTTGTCTCAGAAATTTTACTAGTGGATCTCACTTGTCAATACCCCAAGTTCCCTCTTTGTAACATACAAAAGTCCGTGAAGTTATTTCCTTAGTTTGTTTGTTCTTGTGTGCATACGACTTCCTAATACTAAAACCAACCTTCCTGCCATAGTTATTGTAAAAGTCATACGCAGCTTGTTCAGAGTCAAATGACATGCCCAATTTTAGCTTCCAACCACAACTACCCAACTCATCAACAATATTATTTTCTTCCATTACCTACAATTTAGTACCATACAACTCTAATAAACAGATTCAAAAAAAGAAATCTAATTGAAAACTCTAGTTGAAAAATCAATTAACAGATTCAAAAAAATCTATTAGTACCATACAGATTCAATTTAGTACCATACAACTCTAATTGAAAAATCTAATAAAAAAAAAATCAATATGAACAGATTCAAAGAAAAAATCTAATTGAAAACTATACCATACAGATTCAATTTAGTACCGTACAACTCTAGTTGAAAAATCTAATAAAAAACTATCATGAACAGATTCAAAAAAAAAAATCTAATTGAAACCTCTAGTTGAAAAATCAATTAGCATATTCAAAAAAATCTAATAATACCATACAGATTCAATTTAGTACCATACAACTCTAGTTGAAAAATCTAATAAAAAACTATCATGAACAGATTAAAAAAATAAATAAATAAATAATTGAAAACTCTAGTTGAAAAATCAATTAACAGATTCAAAAAAATCTAATAGTACCATACAGATTCAATTTAGTACCATACAACTCTAGTTGAAAAATCTAATAAAAAAAAACCAACTCTATCATGAACAGATTCAAAAACTTTAGTTCAAATCACATAAACAAATTCAAAAACTCTAGTTGAAATAAAAACTCTAGTTGAAATCAATTAACAAACCTAGATTCATAAACTCTAGTTGAAATCTGCTAACGAGTTCAAACATTAATATGCCTCTGTTTATTGCCCTTTATTGCCTACTTCAAACTCTACTTCAAACCAAAATGAATGAACAATATTTTTCCTTTATTGCCTCTGTTTTTTGAACTATATTTCCACTTTAAATCTGCTAACTATGGTGCATTAATATACATGGTCAAATTCCTAAAATCAACTCTATCATCCTCATAAACATCATCCTCTCCAGGACCACCCACAACAGCCTCATCGTTTCCTTGCAGATATGACATTATAAGTAATATATGAAGTAATACAGCTTACCTCGTCATGGCCGCAATCTCGTCTTGCCGTCTCGTTGCGTCCCTCCACCATCCTCCGTCCTTCGCCGTTGTCATATCCTCCCTCCGCCATCCTTCGTCCTTCGCCATCGCGTCCCTCCACGTTCAGTTCTCTCTCTCTCTCTCTCTCTCTCTCTCTCTCTTCGTCTACCGTCTCTCTCTCTCGTCTCTATCCTGTTGATGTTCTTAGGGCTAAACAAATTGAGAACATATCAGACCAGACGAAGAAGAAAGTGGAAGAGGTGGGAAAATCAAATTTTGGGAAAGGGGAAAAAAAAATTTACTAACCAAAACGACGTCGTTTTGGTGAGGGCGGCAGGAAGGGCCGCAGGAAAGGGCGACTGACGATCGGCACTCATGTATGGAAACTTAACATTTAGGTTAAAAAAATTAAAAAATTATAAAAAATTTAAAAGTAAAAAATGAATTACAAAAAATAAATCATATATACCAGCCATTTACATTTTTTTCTCATAAAATTTAAAAACCGATTCCCAAATATATTAATTTTTTCAGTTTATAGAAAAATCAAAAACCAAAAACCAAAAAATTAAAATATCACTAAAAAAATCCATTTTCAAACAAGGCTTTAATGACCCAAAGTGTGTGGCCACATTTGGGAACTTTTGACTAAAAAAGTTGACCAATTAAAAAGTTTCGAATCACTAAAAAAAATCAAAAAATAAAAAAACTAAAAAACCAATTCAAACATAATAGTCATTCATTTTTTTTTAGTACAATTACAAAAGAAAAAAGAAATCATTTTCAAACACATTTTAATTTTTTCCATCTCATAAAAAATAAAAAATCACTAAAAACAAAACCCAAACTAAGCCCAAACCAGTCCACATAGACTATTTAAAATAAGCAAAATATACAATATACAATATACATGGACCTCGGCACTGTTTCCAGGCCTGTAAAATTAATTTGTTTTAATATGACCCATAATTTATTTTTTTTGCTCCAAGGAAAATTTGATGAACTAAGCCTCTAAATTTGATGGACCCCAAAATGTAACCTTGCTCAGGACTATAGATCTAGGGAAATTTAAATGGTGATCCTGAAGCAAGTACACAGGTATCTCAATTTAGATTTTTATTGATTTAAATAATGAAACTTATTATTTTTCAAAAGCGTCCCAACATGAATAGTGCAAAGTATTGCTTCGAGACCACCAAATAACTTCTCATAGATCCGGGCCTGCAATCTCCCCAGTACCACCGTAAATCTGTCCCTAGCAAAACAAATGGGAAGCCTCAACAATTGCTCAAAAAAGGAGACAACGAATTCAAAAGCTCACTAAAAGGCACACCAAAACTCCATTGCCACGAGGAGGATTCGATTTGTATCCAAAAAAATCATTAAATACGCTTAATTTTTTAATATATTTTATTAAATTATTTAGGATTATAATTTACTTTCAAGAAATTTTATATTTTTCTGCAAATTACTTTTCAAAGTACACCCAAATAATAAATAAATTAAAAATCTCAAATTACACTATTTTGAAAAATCTTTAAAAAAATTCTTAAATAAATTTCTCATTATAACTATTTATTTTATTCATATACAAAGAACGATTGATGTGAGTTATTCTATACGACATCATACTTACTTATATGTGTTCCTATTATATTAATAATAACTCTATGAAACACTATGTTAAAAAATCCCGTGATAATCTCATGAAGAATGAAAAATAGTTTTGTTGTTGAACCTCCGCGGCGTCTCTAGCCATCTAACAATTCCCAAGAACTAAAGTTTTTCAGAATAACAATAGTTGATGTTTGATTAATTGAATGAGACATTACTTATTTTTCTATTTAATTAATTGAACAAGACACTTTTCTTTCCTTTTCTTTGCATTTTTTTTTCATTTGATTTGATTAATAGAATAAAAAATTTATTATGTTCTTGACGATACCCAAATTTTTTTATTATTTTTATTTTCCTTATATATTTTTTACAATGGCACATATTATTGTATTCTTGTTTTGTTCTTTTTGTAAATAACAATACAATAAGAAATAATGATATTAATAATAATTGTGAATTTTGATAGAATAGATTTTAGAGTGAAAAAGAAGATAAAAAGAAAATAATTGAAACTTAAAAAAGAAGATTAAGAGATTTGAATATGAATAGTTGAGATCCAAAGAGGGTCGGGAAAATTCCTATATGAAAGTTCCTAAAAAAAAAGTCCCAAGCATTTTTTATATGAATAATACGTATAAATAATTTAGGTGTACCACGAGAAAAAAATAATATCTAATTTTAAGACTTAATTGGTATTGTCCTCATTCATAAATTTATATTAAAATTTTAAAATTTTAATTGAACGTTCTGAATTATTATTTAGGTGCAAATAGAATCCCCCGGAGAGGCTGCCCCCACCACCAGCATAAATCTGTCCCTAGCAAAACAAATGGGAAGCCTCAACATCGCTCAAAAAAGGAGACAACGAATTCAAAAGCTCCAAGAGCCGAAAAAAAAAGGCACACCAAATCTCCGCTGCTAGAGATAAAATAGCATCCATAATAACTTAAAAAGACCTTAAATTTTTTTAATCAACCATAACCTTGATTGAGGTTATGACTATCACAACCTAGACTTTGAAGCAGAAAGATGGAGGGCAAAAGCAGCGAAACCTACACATCTTTACCTTCCAGCCCTAGTACTTACTTCATTCTTGCAACAAACAAAACAAACAAACATTGTTTCTTTGACAAACACCCATGTGTTTGAACTGATAATCAAGCTTGTTTTATTGACTTTGCTTTTAAGTTCCCTCTCTTCATTAGAAGATATCAGGATTGAAGCGTCCAGGTATAGAGTTATTTTGCTGAGCCTGCTGCAAATGCATTGTCAATGCATAGTTATTCACCTGCAACCATATACCATGAAGGCATGACAACTGTTAGAACACACAAGTTTTTCCAAGTCCTCTCCTTTTTCTTTTTTTTCTCTACCAAAAATAAATAGAAAACAAAAGTAAAACAATGCAGGCCATTGCTATGTTATAGGTGCTTTAGTAACAATGAAAACAAATCCTCTTCACATGTAGAACATAAATTGTAGTATGTTGTTATTTTATTTTTTACTTTTCCCGCTCATATGATCTTTTTCTAGTTGGTCACAAGTCCAACTGAATATTTCCACTTTCATTTTATGTTGAGCAATCTAGATTTTCGTAGATACAGCACGGTCCCGGGCGCCAACAGATCCTTTAGGCTATGTTTGGATCATAGATTTGGATAAGGGATTGGAAAGAGAGAAAGTGTGAAAGGTGTTTGAAATGTAGCTATATTTCGTTTACATTTCACCCACCTTTTCCCTTTCCCTTTCCCTTTCTCTTTCCTTTTCCTTTTCCAAATTCCTACCCAAATTCATGATCCAAACACAGCCTTGTGCTGTGTTTGGTTGGAGCATTTGGAAAAGGAAAGGGAAAAAGTGTGAAAATAGGTGAAATGTAGGAATATTTTATTCACATTTCACCTACTACATTTTTCCTTTACTTTTCCAAATTCCTTCCTAAATCCTCCAACCAAACACAGACTAGTGTGATTCTTTCTGGAAAATGAAGTTGATAAGGTTTTCCAAAAGTTTAGATGTTAACCTCAAGCGTTCTCAATTGCTCCTGATACTGAGACACCAACTGCTTCAAATGCTGCACCTCTTGATTCTTATAATCGTACTCTTTCTGACGTTCATGCTGAATAGCCACAGCACGTTTGAGAATTGTGTTCTCGCGGAAGATAACTTCAATTTGTTCCTTGAGCATCAAATTCTCCTGGCAACAGCAAACATAATTAAACAAGCCTACAACAGCATATACAATGCAATTTTGTCTTTCATCAACCATAAGAAAGTATGAGTTCCACTTCACCAAACAATTATTTGTACCATCCTAGGTTTTGAAAACGGTCCTCAAAAAATCAAGCTCCACGTGCCTATTTCTGTTCTTTGTATGCCAAGCACTGTGGTTTTCACCTTACCATCCTCATGCTGCCATGTCTTAAAGAACCAGATTAATGTCTTAAAGTGATTCTAGGGCTATGTTACATGGACTTGGGTACGAGTTTCTGGTGCGAGTGCTTGTCCAAGCATGAGATCTTCTAAGTCTAAATCTTAGAATATTGGGATAAGCATCCAAAAGTTGGGTATGGGTACATAGACATATCTTAAACACTTTCATATTGCATATTGTATAATATTTTTACATAAACTGTTGTAGATTATTTAAAAATGTATTAAAATTAAATGAAATTTAGGGAAAATGGGCGAATTACAGCTCTCATTCGTGTGAGAAACTAGAAATGTTTCTTTACTAGCAAATGTGAGCGTCTTCTACCTCAAAAATCACAAGTGTCTCAATTGGGTATGGGTGTCGAACATATATCCCACACCCTTATCCTTGTCATATCCAGTGGACATGGGTACAATAAGTAATTGCAATACAATGAACTGTTAATCTTGAGATAAATAGTCCTAAATTATTTGGTTGGAAATGATATGTATTTGACTATTAATCCGACCTTCACTTTTCCAACCAAACAATGGACTAGCAAATCTATTGGACATAGAGACCAATCCCATGCCTCAATCCTATGAAACAAACGCCCATCAAGGAAGTAGAAAGTCAATGTAACATAGCCCACAAGAAGCCATTGCGACATGGGCAACCAATAAGTTATATTTCCCTCCTGAATATCTTGCAAATTCCCACACGATAACTCTAGTAGCATAAAGGGAATAAAAGAGAGGCAACTGAAATAAAAATTTAGTACTAACCTTGTGATAACTTTGAGCTGCCTCAGTACCAGCTCGAACACTAATAGACTGCTCTAAACTCTCCAGCAAACTTGCAGCACGGGATCTAGCATCATCCATGCTAGTAGCACTCGTGATTTCCCTCACAAACAATTCCACCCACTCTGCACCATCCATGTGAAGATTGTTTTGGGCTGAAGGAGCTGTATCTCCATCAGTCGTCGTTGTACCTGCAAATTTTGCAAGCACACATAAGATTCTTCCCTCTTAGAGGGGCACAAAGCATATCATAGAAGGGTAGGTTTCAAGTGGTTGGCTAATAAAATTACACCATTAAATAAAATAAAAAACCAAAGGATGGTTATTATTGTCTTCTCTAATATTGACTCTCTCCACCATTAAGGACAAATCAATATACTTACAAGTAAATTATTTAGTTAAGGAAAGAATTCCTACATAATTAAGGCAAAAATTCCTACGTAGCTAATCACAACCAGGAGAACCATACACCCAATCCGACATTCAGCAAGAAACGTATAATTTTTGCCTTTTAGTCTTTCTTTTCTTCCTTTTTTCCTCCTTTCTCTCTACTATTAAGCAACAAAGAGACTTGATTGATCCCTTGCCCCAAAAGCAGAAAGTTCAACTGGATATAATTTTTGCCTTTTATTCTTTCTTTTCTTCCTTTTTTCCTCCTTTCTCTCTACTATTAAGCAACAAAGAGATTTGATTGATCCCTTGCCCCAAAAGCAGAAAGTTCAACTGGATACAACTAGCCATCCAAGAATGAGAAATTATTAGCTATGAATCCATTCATAATAAATATATGAAAAATGTTATAGACCCCAAATAATTTGTCAAACCTCTCACATGGGTGTGTGACCCACACAACCCACGTGTGTGGGTCCCACACCTATGTAAGAGGTTTGATAAAAAATTTAGTAAATTATTTGGAGTCCCTAGCATCACTCTAAATATATAACTTCTATTTTCTACTTTCTCAAACTAGCAAAATTTAGATTTTGTGTGTGACCCACACAACCCCCGTGTGTGGGTCCCACACCCATGTGAGAGGTTTGATAAAAAATTTAGTAAATTATTTGGGGTCCCTAGCATCACTCTAAATATATAACTTCTATTTTCTACTTTCTCAAACTAGCAAAATTTAGATTTACACTTCGATGAAATAAGCATGCAGTTAACAAATACAATTGTAAATATCTTACCAAGAGGGGTCTGTGCACTGAATCTTTTTAGATAAAGAAGCTTAAAATTCCATCCATGATTTGCAATATAAAAATTTGTGATACTACTATAATAAATGAAGCCAGATATCCCAAGAGACCATCCCAAGCTTGACTTATGGAGTTTTTAACACTACCAAAAGGCAAGGTGAGATAAAGGGAGCAAAGGTGGGACTCAAAATGTTCAACCCATCTCCATCTGTCCATGAAAGTTAAATGTATACCTTTCTCCATATTTGCATTTGATTCTTCAGCAGAATCTGTGTTTCCCACCCCATATCCAAGAGAAAGCTCATGCAGGCTCTTAATAGCCGCATCTAAATCATTGTCACATTCATTTAACGCCTTCTCAATAAGCTGAAAGGTCAAACGAGAAATCAATCAGTAACTGAAAATTCCCTCAAGAATTGCACAAGGAATATATATCTTCTTAATAAGGATGTTCATAATTGTACAAAAGTAAAAATCACCACAATAAGTAACAGAATATTAGTCACATATAACCAGAAGCAAATTGAATAAGAGGGCATAAATCATTAAACAAAAGATGAATCCACAAAAATATGGATTGTGATAAAATGAAGTATATGGAGAAGTGCTGTTTTATGCATACAACTGCAAGGCTTGCCTCCATTATGAATTTTTATTGCAGTGATTAGGCAATATTCCTGCATCTTAACTCGAGCATATCAAGGACACAGGGGAATTGATTTTGCCCCATGAAAACAAAGGAGAGTCTGGCACCTCATTCATTTCAACCTGGTCGACCCTTTGTTCAGGCTTGGCCGTCTGATCAACCGTACAGCTCGCCGTCTAGTTGGCTAATTTTCTCAGAGAGGCTTCCTGTGTCCTACTCGGCCGCTCACCGTGGTTACTAGGGTTTTACCACCCACAATTAAAGAGGTCATTTATAAGTGATGGGCCTTAATGGGTAAGGTTTATTATTTTCCTCACAGGGAAGATTTTTTTGGGTATGATTTTCAAAAATAAAAGGGAATAAAATAAATCACTTACTCCGTCCACCTAGGGTGGCGGATGCCGCTCCAGCTCACTAATTAGCACTTAGATTTCAATTCGGGTCAAATCCCCGGATCCCTTTAGCCAAATTTGCAAACTGTCACAACTTTATTCTCGACGAATAATATTCTTCCGCGTGTTGAATGGAATGTCACACAATGCTCGCATCTCTGGTCCAAAATGAGGGCATGAATGTCTCTCTCCAGAAGAATCGAACCAGACACCTTGGATTGTTGAGGCAAGGTGCAAACTATGTTACCTGGAACGTGGATTGTTCCAGTACGGGGAATGGAAATGGGAAAGTGGTAGGGCACATGTTCTAAAATGTGGTACGATAGGGGTAGACTTGTATATGTAATATACTTGTGAATTTAATGTACTTTTAGAGTAATTTTCTTTTAACTATTAGGCATCTAATAAAATTTAGTTTTTCTTTTTCATGTAGCAAAACATTTCTACGAGTATTATGACCCACTTATTTTTATGTTTTGTCTTGTCAAAATTTAACTTCCTTTAGATTTTAATTCCTTATATTTGATTTTTTCCCCATAAGGAAACATTTAAGGAAATTTATTGGAAAAACTTTTGGGATCATTTCATATCACTAAATTTACGATTTTAGAACGGAAGTATACCATATTTTGGATCGTGCATGCCAATATGTAATTTGCCAGGGTATTAACATTTTTTGGTAACATAGGGCACAAATTACTGCACCACAGCCACCTCATCACAATCCTTTTTCTGCACCACAGCCACCTCATTGCAATCCTTTTTCTATTGTTTTATTTATTAAGACTATAATACCTAATAATATGCAACATTTACAGTAGAAATACTTAATGACAAAAGAAACGATATCTTACAAAATAAAAAATTATTTAATACATATAATTATATATTTACATGATCTGGAGGCACTCCCACTCTCACTGTAATTTTGAAAAAAGCCGCTCTCATGCTCTCATTCACTGAATCAGTGACTTAGATTTCAATAACAGCTAGTCCTAGAAAAAAATCCAAACAAGACATAGCCAAATGAATATTAATCCGGAGCAATTTCAATTATCCCAGACTATCCAAAAAAAAAGTTAATCACAATCAACACGATCAAGAGAAAGCAAAGAAAAAAGCAAAAGTAATAAATTAACCCAAACTACAACAAAATGACAATTATGACAGTAAAATCAGAGCCCTAACAGAGTTTCATATCATATCATAGCCCCGTTTTTCTTTTCTTTTTTTTTTCTTTTTTCCCTGAATTCACAACCAAATTCAATTTTTTTCATCATTAGACAAACAAATAAGACAACAAAATACAAAAACCACAAGCTTTAAGAAACTAAAATAACAACGAAGAAGTCAGCTTGATGATAAAAAAAAACTTAAAACGAACTAGTAAAACTATGAGATCTATCGAGTCTGCCAGTAATCATTACAATACGAGAGAAAGAGAGAGAGAGAGAGAGAGAGAGAGAGAGAGAGAGAGAGAGGTAAGACCTGATCGTCCATGTCAGGGAAACGAGCTCGGAGCTGATCGAAGAGAGAGGGAAAGTTGGAGAAGAATCGAACAGGAGAGGTGGAAGAAAAGCAGCGAAGCCGCTTGGAAACAGGAGGCGATGAAGAGGAGGATTGAGGAGATGAAGGGAGGTCTTCGAAGAAAGATCTCTTGCCGCACACAATTGCAGACATTGTTCGAGATCTCCGTCTGCAATTCTATTTGCTTTTGTTCTCTCCAATTCCGTTTCAAAATGGATTCAAATCTCTCACAATTCCGATTGATGATAATGATGATCGGTGGTGTTTCAGAAATTAGGATTAGGGTTTTGACGTTGCGATTGTGTATGGGATTGAAGAGAGAGAGAGAGAGATACGAAAGCTTTTTCTTCCAAGACACCCTTTTCTCGCCTTTCTGGACCAAGAGGTGGAATAGATGGATGAGTCTCGTTTTTATAGTGGGGATGCGATGTGATGGCGTTTTTTTTTTTAGTCACATATTTTTATAATTTTTTTTTATATTTAATAGTTTGTTTTTAAATATAATTAATTATAATTTGTCTCGTCGAAATGAATTTAAAAAGTATAATTTTTTTAAAAACAAATTTAAAAAGCCAAAATAAATAAATAAAAATTTACTATTTTTCTTCTTTTTGTCTTTTTTTGATTTTTTTGAAATTTTTTTAAAAAGAATTATAATTTTTCGCTTCTGCTTACCGAGCCAAATCTAAAAACTTAAAACTTTTATGAAAAATTAAAAAAAAAATTATTAAGACAAAAAAAAAAATAAACAAACATGCTTACACTCGCTCTATCTCAAATTCTAAATTTCTAACATTGTTATTGTCTCAAAGGCCAGCTACATGGACTTAGGTCATAGATTACTAGACCAATTATACAATCGACTCGAACTCTAAACATGTAATTTTTTATTGTTCTAAAAAATAGTTACATAAACTACTAAACCAGCGGACCAACTACATGTCCCATAATATTGCTTCAAGCAGTTGATTTTTGTACAATTATAATTGGGTAAATTATACTTTGCATCCCTGCACTTCACACCAAATCCCACTTTAATCTTTACACATAAAATTATGACGATCAACTCCTTACACTTTTGGTGAAATCTCACTTTGGTCTCTACATATGAAATTATAACAATCAATCATCTACACTTGTGTCAATATCTCCCTTCTATTATTTCATTATTTAAACCCTTAACAGAATCCAATCATGTAATGAGAATGTGACTACGTAATGAGGGTAAGAGAGAAAAATTATCAATATTTTTATCAATACACACTTTGTCTTACATAATAAACACATGAAAATTATATAATACAATATATATGTTTGTATGTTAAAAATTAAGACAAAGAGGTAAGGAAATGTCGTTTATGAAATAAACAAAGGCAATAGAGAAATCAAAGAGAAAGTAAGAGGAATAGACAGAATATTGTATTATTGTGAAAAACAGAATTTCGTGATTCCAATTTATGCAAAACCATGATTCATCTTCTTAATCGTTCACAATCTGTGTTTTATTTTAGCCTAATACAGTTATCATTTGATATAAATTTTGGGACAAAGTGTGTATTAGTATAAAATTAGAATGATTTTTCTCTCTTATCCTCATTTCGTAATCATATTTTTGTCTTATGATTAAATTCTGTTAAAAATTTAAAGAATAAAGTAACAGAAGGAGGACATTGACACTTGTGTAGAGATTAGAATATGATTTGACCCAAAGTGTATGAGGTTGACTATGACGATTTTATTTGTAGATATCAAAATGAGATTTGATAAAAAAAATATAAGAAATTAACTGTCATAATTTTATATATGGGACTAAAATAAAATTTGATATAAATTACAAAGGTACAACAGTGTAATTTATCTAGATACTTTCACATTGCTTTACCAGCGCGTGAATTTCACTTTTTAAAAAAATAGTAGGGGACAAATGTTCGAAAGGGTAACGTCAGCTCGCCGCACCGCAATGCAACCAAACCTACAGTTTGACTTTCTAATTTTGTGTCACGATCTTTTTATTTTTATGTTTTTCATTTCTTTTATTTAATGTTTAATTTAATTTTTCAAAAATTATTTTTAGATGAATTTTAATTATTTTATTTTTAAATATTTTTTAAATCCACTTAATTAAGATGTATTTAAAAAATTAAAAAAATATCAAAAATAGATAAAAAATCAAACAAAATCTTTGTAATTTTTTGTGTGGATTTTCATTTATTTTATTAATTTTTTTTCCATATTTTAATTAAAATATGAAAAAATTATGATTTTTTTTTCCGAGAACTGTAAACTATTTTTATTTTTTAATTAATTTTCCAAATATTTTAATTATTTTTTATTTTTAGATTCATTTAATTTGAATACACTTAAAAAGCATAAAAGTTGTGCAAAAATTCATTGAATACAAAAGAAAAAAAAAATTCAATACATTTTTGTATTCAATAATTGTATAAAAAAAATTATATAAATTTTGTAATTTTAAGTTAAGATTAAGTGAATCTAAAAAGCAAAAAAAAATAATAATAAATTAAAATGTTAAAAATTTATTAAAAATAAATAATACAAATTAAAAACTCAAAAAAAATTGTTTTTGAAAATTTCAAGCTAAACAAATCTGATCACTTCATTTTCAAAATCAGTTTTTAAAATTTTTTTTTTCATAAATGGAAAGATATTTAAAAAAAATTACAAAATTATATAAAAATGATGAGTATTTTAATTTTTTTTCACCAAATTAATTTTTAATTTTTTTTTAAAAATAGAATAAATTTTGAAAGGTAAACCAAATAAGGTAAATTTTAAAAAGTAGACCAAATATGAAAAGATATCAATTCAAATAAAGAGTGAATTACACTTTCTTTTCATAAATGGAAAGATATTTTAAAAAAATTACAAAATTATATAAAAATGATGAGTATTTTAATTTTTTTTCACCAAATTAATTTTTAAATTTTTTTTAAAAATAGAATAAATTTTGAAAGGTAAACCAAATAAGGTAAATTTTAAAAAGTAGACCAAATATGAAAAGATATCAATTCAAATAAAGAGTGAATTACACTTTCTCTTTAAATTTTAATATTTTCTCATTATTTTTCCTCACTTTTTTAATCTGTAATGTTTCATTTTTTTTTTCCTTTCAATTTGCTCCATTAATAGTTAGCTCTCCGTTCAAAAATACCATATTTGGAAAGATAATTAAAAATTAATTTTTTGATTTTTTTTAAATATAAAAAATATAAGAGATGATATGACCTAAAATAAATTAAAAATTAATTTTTGATTTTTTTTTTTTAACTCTTCCCAAAAGAGCCCAGAATAACACATTACAAGATAAATTATACTATAGGTGTTTCCTTACATTTTAATATTTCTTCGCTTTAAATCTTAATATTTTATAATTCATTCCAATAACTAATGTCTATACATATGTTGAATGAAAAATGGGATCGTTTGCGTTCTAACACCTAAACTTCATCCTGACAGTGGGGTGTTTAGTGTGGATTATAGGGGTAATTATAGTTTATTTTAATTTGAGAATCTGTGTCAGACTGTTTAGTACAACTTCTGCTTATAGCTTTTTAGGTAGAAATAGTTTAAATAAGTTGAGAAAAATTAATTATTTAGAAACTGAGAAAAAAATACTTCTAATTTTTACTTTCTAATTATCAATTTTTAACTTACAATGGCCCTGTTTGGTAGAGCTGTAGGAAAGTGCTTATAACTTATGCTTAAACAGCTTATACCTTATAACTATGAACATAAGCTCTGACTTATAAATTAAGTATCTCCTGCCCCACTCAAAGAATAAGCTGATTTCTGACTTACAAAAAACTATAAGCTATAAGTTATAAACTAAACCAAACACATCAAAATAGTTTAAATTAAGCTGAAAGCTAAAATAAGTAACTTTTAAATTATACCAAACAGGGCCAATAAACTACATCAAGCACTCCCAATATTTCTTACTCATTGCTATCACCAATAACTCAATAATAGTGCCATCAACCTTCTTACTCGTCCTCCTCATTAACATTATTAGCATCTCAAAACCAGCATCAATGATTCAGGGGTGTTTTGGCAACATGATTTTTAGTCACTTTTTTAGATTAGTAGTAAAAGTTAAAAGTTAGTTTTTTTGTCTTTTTTTTATTTGGTAAGCTGGTTTTTAGCCAATGATGAAATTATAATTTTACCCCTCATGAGTTAAAATGTATTACATGGATGAAGTTGTAAATATTTTAAATAAATAGGATAGTTTGGTCATTTTCCTGTAATTTGACATCATAAATAAATATTAATAAAAAAAGTCAAAAGTAACTTTTTAGTAACTTTTCAAATCATTTGTCTAAAAAAATCAAAAACTTAATTAAAAATCAAAAAATCACTTTTTACTATCTTTCCAAAATAAGCTTAATTCATAAACCCTTCTATTCGACGCCATCGAATACCACCATCATATATCTCTCAAACTTGGTTACCTTGGAGGAAAGAAGAGGACAGTACAATATAAAGTTCAAATTGAGGGAAACGTAACTATTAGTCATCTAATTTTAAACGAACATTGGCTGTTGGAACCAATTAGAAAATTAAAAACATGATGAAACGAAAAAAAAAAAAAATTTTAAGGGCCAAATAAAAAATATTGAAAAACTTAAGAGAACAAAATGTAATTTACCATTAATAAAAAAAAACAAACTAAATACTCCTTCCATCTCAAAATATTAATTCCTTATTCAATTTTTTATTATTCTAAAATATTAGCTCATTTTCAAAAATTAAATATTAAAATAATATGAATTTCTTATTTTGTCATTCTTTTAAATTCATTAACAACACAAAATGTACAATTATGACAATAGATATTTCTAAAAAAATGTACTATCAAAAAGATAATTTTGAAAAATTAATATTTTTAAAGTACAATAATTGTACTATAAAAAAATTAAATTCTCTAAAAAGGATATTATTTTGGGATGGAGGGAATAACAAGTTACTAAAAAAATATTTTCCAAAAGAAAGGTCTTGCAATTCAATTAGAAAAAAAAAATTACATAAACTATTCCTATATTATGGTGGAGGCAGTTGTTAAGTAAAACATTGTTGAATTGAGTTGATTCTTTGAGTGGCTCATTGAGTCAATTTAGAGTACGTTTGGTACAATAAAATAGGTTAGAATAGAATGCATATTCTAGCTTTATATTCTCTTTCGTTTGATATGCTTTAGTTAAGTGGGAATAATTATTCCATGAGAATATCCATTCCAACAAAAAGTAAAAATACATATTCCATATGGGAAGCTAAGAAATAACTATTCCATTTCAACATGGAATTATCATAAAACAAAATAACAATCACTCTTATAAAAATAAAAAGCAAAATGATTGTTTCAGGGAAAAAAAGGCTTG